TCTCAAAAAGCTCGCCTGAAGTCGGACAGCTCGGAGTCGGCTTCGTCTTTTTCTTCTCTCTGTTTTTTGGCGGATCGCAAACAACTTTGAGGTGCATAGTACCGCCATCTCCGGAGTCGGCTTAACTTGGTTTGCATTTATAAAGAATGCACACATGTGTTAATCGTTAATGTCAGATATGTACCAAGTAAATACATTTGTTCCTGCTCAAGATTAGATTAAACTTTATTGATATTGCACAGATTACAGGAGACATCGAAATGCAGTTTAGCTTCTAACCAGGTGCAACAAGCAGTAAAGTGAAAAGTGATGTACACAATCTACAGAATAAAAGATAGAATGAATTGAATGATGAATAAACAGTGAGGGGTATGCATACACTAGATATCAGCCTGTGAGCAGTATGAACAGTGTGTATGAATATGCTAAGATATATAAAGTACGAAAACGGTAAGCAGTGCAAGTATAGTATAAAATATATAGATATTAATTTCATGATGATAAACATTGTGGAACAATGATGAAAAATGGGAATGGATGTGGCGACGTCAAACTGACACAAAACAACAACAAACTTTTGCCGAGCCAATAGGCTTGTTTGAGACGAGCTGCGGCTCGCCTATTAAGTAGACGAGAATAGCCGATCGCAGCCGGGTGAGGTCTCAAAAAGCTCGCCTGAAGTCGGACAGCTCGGAGTCGGCTTCGTCTTCTTCTTCTCTCGTTTTTTTTGCGGAATGCAAACAACTTTAAGGTGCATACCGCCACCTCCGGAGTCGGCTTGACTCGGTTTGCATTTATAAAGAATGCACACACGTGTTTAATCGTTAATGTCAGATATGTACTAAGTAAATACATTTGTTCCTGCTCAAGATTAGATTCAACTTTATTGTTATTGCACATATTACAGGTACCGAGAGAACGAAATGCAGTTTAGCTTCTAACCAGGTGCAACAAGCAGTAAAGGGAAAAGTAATGTACACAATCTACAGAATAAAATATAGAATGAATTGAATGATGAATAAAGAGTGAGGGCTATGAATACACTAGATATACACAGCAGCCTGAGAGCAGTATGAACAGTGTGTATGAATATGCTAATATATATAAAGAATGAAAACGGTAAGCAGTGCAAGTATAGTATATATTCATGATGATAAACATTGTGGAACAATGATGAAAAATGTGAATGGAAGTGGCGACGTAAAACTGACACAAACAACAACAAACTTTTGCCGAGCCAATTGGAGAGTTTCATCAGCAGCACATGGTAAAAACCACCAATGAGCGCTCAGCCCGAGATACCAGCGAGTCGTTTCCCATCAAGCATTTCGCTTCCGCAGCCCGTGGAGAGGAACTGCGCCGCCTCGACGCGCCTCGCTCTCAAGGCTGCAGGCGTCTTTGTCCCGCGAGATTTCAATGTCTCATATAGGCGAGCCTCCAGAGCAAGTTGGAAAAATGACTAACCATCATGCAACGCACTAGCAAGACGTTGATCGCAACTGCGCAGGTCTCGCTTGTCTCAAACAAGCCTAACATGTTGCGAAACACAATAGCCAGCATGTGTAGTTCTGGGGACGGGGTGGGGGAGGGGGTGACGCAGTGGACCCGTTCAAATCCAGTTTTGGACAGTCTGCCGTGGTTCTATCCCATTTCAAGTGCTGTTCGACGCTCGGCGTAACCCTCGGAGCACACTCTCCAATCACAGAGCTTAAGGACTATCACAGGGGTTTGTCAAGCGAAGCTGAGAGAATACTTACTTCCCGGTGTAATATTCTCTAAAGCAAATGAGCTGCTCGACCCTCGGTCCTGACGGACTCCAACTTGTGTTTATTAATCAAACAAATAAATAAACACAAGGATAATTATGTGTTATTGTTGAGTAAATGGAGAATTGCACAGGGGAAAATAACGTAGGCTATCTATGCCACAATTTTAGATGCGGATTTTGTTAAACTAATACGTTTGCGCTGTGGACCAACACTATACATTGACGGGGAAGGGGGTAGCAATAAAGATAACACCACAGTTACACAACATAACAGAAATAATATCGATAGCAGCGTCCCTAGCAACAAGTAACAAGTCATTAATAATAATGAAAGACATTAAGAAAAAGGCATTTTAAACAGTCATTAAAAAGCAACACAATCTACCTGCATTGCATTACTCTAAACGTGTAATAACGTGCTTTAACCAGTAGGTGGTTTGGGTTAAAAAGCTGTCAAGTTTACAGTGTTAACAAAATAAAATATACTGCTGTTTCTGGTTTAGTTTACGATGGATATATTTAGTTATTGTTTTGATATTTGTAACACAAAAGCGATGGAAAAAACCCACAGCTACACAGAAAAGATGGTCTTAACATGACCCAGCGGTCTAGTAGTTAATAAAAAACAATAATATCAAAACAAAATATTACTACTAACTTTATTGTGAAATTCAAACTGAACGGTAAAAGAATAGTTTCCGGTCTATTCTGAGCCCGATCTCTGTAGATAAATAAAAATAAAGAACTACGACAGATGTGTAATATATTTAATGCAGCCGAACCATTTATTACAATGCATTCATGTGATGACTTTCAAAGAGTAAAGCAAGCACTGCTGAATAAAGTATGATTTTATCTTTTACGAAACGTTTTTTTTCATATGGAATGCAGTTGGAGGTCAACCAATCACAGAGCTTGAGAACTATTCACGGGGTTTGTCAAACAGAGCACATGGTGTAGTCCAAAACGATAGCTGGGGATTCTGGGTAGTGTAGTGTCTTCTGCCATCCTTTACTCAGAAAAAATATTTGTTTCTCCGAATCGAAGGGGAAAAATACAAAAGCATTGCACACAATTTAAACCAATCAATGTTGTGTAATTAACAAGGATAATCTGGTGTTTTTTAGTCGATGAGTAGTGCAGATATCACTGTAAAATCCATGGGCGCGGGAAGGGGGGTGCTGAGGGCGCTGCAGCACCCCCTAGCGGCAGGCAGGGGGTGCGGAGCTCCCCTGTCTGAATTATTATTTGACGGTTATTGCTGCTCCCGCTGTGCATAATCTGTGTAATATGTAGCCAATACATTCCACATTGTTGGTAAAATAATATTTTGGCCTGCCCCGAATGTTGTTTCTGTAGCCCCGGACAATTCTACCTCCATAATATAATACATTAACCGTGCTTTACGTGAACCTCATCAAGACATTAGAGGACGACAGAACTGTAATTTCCCGTGTTCAGTGAATGCAACAGAGGCAAGACACCAGACCAATCAGAGAGTTGCATGGAAATAAAAGTGTGCTGGTGTCATTCAAGCTCGGCTCTGTGTGTGTGCGGAAATAGCGCATTTAGTGTGTGTGAGAGAGGGAGAGAGAGAGAGAGAGAGAGGGAGAGAGAGAGGGACCGGTGCCAGCAGCAGGGACCATGTTGTTAGCATCTGGTTAGCTAGCTGCACTAACGGACATACGGAGCTGTTGGTTCCACAACAAGCTGGAGGAGAGCTCTCCTCTCAGACTGAGAGGCTCAGGTGAGCTAAAGGACTCTCTGAGTGTTTAGATAGTTAACTTTAGTCTAAGTTATCTCAGTGGGTCTCAAACTGTTTGGTCACAAATTATTCAAAAGATTATTTCCGCGGCACACCTTCATATGATCATTATAGTTATTTTAAAAAAAAAGAGAATAAAGGAAAAACAGTTATGAAATACTATATGGCAGTAAAACAAGAATACAGTTTGAAAGGGGAATGATTTGTAAAATATCCATAAAGAAAAAGAACATCTGCTTACAGTTGTGTATCATCTGGGTGTTGAGAGATGTATCCATAGATCTCTTAATGTTGCTCTCAAAGTGCACCAGATTGATGCTTTTAACTTCAATATTTAAAAAAAATCTTCCCGGGGGAGCATCCTAACCCTAACCCTAACCCTGACCCCCCTAGAGGAGGTCAGGTCTGCTCCCCACTCGTAAAAAATAGCACTTTACCCCTGCCTATATGCCGTGAGCTGATTATCGAGCCTTCGTTGTAACAGTCGCGGGTGTACTGTGTGTTTGCGTGTGGGGAGTGCTTTTGTGCGTGCTCTATAGTGCCCGTAATAGTGTTCACTGGAGTCCAGCACCTCAGCACCCACACTCAAAATACCTTCCCGCACCTCTGGTAAAATCAATCGACAGTAAGGGGAATAATTACTTCCGGGTGTACAATTCTCCGTTATCCAATGGGAATGGTCGCTCACATTGCCTTTAAGATGAAACAAACGAATGCCGTGCTTCCATGAGCGTCAAATCCCGCCGCAGATGGGAATACATTGCAATCAGTTGAAAGCTATTTGGGTCCCTTTATGAAGCTTGTGTGAATAGGATGATGTGTTTTGAGTTCATCTGATCTAGTGAACGTGTTCCCACACTCTTCACACCAGTATAACATTCTGAAATAAATAAAATACTGAGAAAAAGTAATTTCTGATTTTAAAAGTCAGAATTTTGAAAAAGGTCAACATTCTAAAAAAAAGCCAAAATTCTAATAATAATAAATACAAAAAAATCTCTACAGCTCTAACCCTAAATATAACCCTCATTCACACCCCTCCCCACTTCCTGCAGATCCTCCCCTCCTCCAAATGATTGGAGCATGCATTTAGAAATGTAAATGTGAAGTAAATGTTCTGCAACGACTCCTCTTAGACTTGATGTGAAACTTTCAGGGACAACAGGAGGAAGGTGTGAACCCCTCCTCCCCTCATCTACCTCTATGGTTTTGTGTCCTATCCTCTCCTGAGACGAGATATCAGAGTTTCACTAGAAAAAATTTTGTTCAAACAAAACAAGAACGTCCCAAATGTACTTTATCACTTCTCATACCCAACGTGTCTTAGTGTTTTGAACATCACTTGAAGTAAATACAAAAAAAGTACCAAAAAGGCAACTCAAACCTTTCAATTGAACATAGACGTTAAATGAAAACGAGGAAGCAAATACGGTGTTGGGCAATAAACATTCTGAACTTGATGCTCACTAAAATTGCAACTGCAGACATAACGGATAATTGATTAGGAAGTATGTAAAAGATCCCAGAGATGCTTCTATTTGCAGATGTTCCCTAAACGTCTCATCTACAGTCTGCTGGTAGACAGATCATTGTTAAGTTCAACAGTATAAAGCTGCTCTATGTAAATAAAAAAACATTTGTATTAACAAGAGCACTCTCATATAGAGCTAATTGTGTGTGAGAACAGCAGGATTTTGGGAGGTCTGAATGTAGTCATAAAAAACATGTTAATTAGAACGTAAAGTCACTGTTTGTCAGCTTTACATTTGGAGAAAGCAGGGGGAATGCTAGCTTCACTCAGAAAAGGATCAGATGGAGGCAAAGTGAGTGCGCTGGTGGACTTTAAGATACCAAGATCTTGTGAAAGCTTTGTTGCACTGGTCACAGCTAAATGGTTTCTCTCCAGTGTGAGTGCGTTCGTGGATTTTATGTATATCACTTCGAGAAAAGGTTTTCCCACACTCTTCACACCAGTATGGTTTCTCTCCAGTGTGAATACGACTATGGATTGTAAGGTGACTTGATGCAGTGAAAGTTTTCCCACACTTTTCACACCAGTATGGCTTCTCTCCAGTGTGAATAGGACGATGGATTGTGAGGTGACTTGATGTAGTGAACGTTTTCCCACACTCTTCACACCAGTATGGTTTCTCTCCAGTGTGAATACGACGATGGATTGTGAGGTGACTTGATGTAGTAAATGTTTTCCCACACTCTTCACAGCTGTGTGGTTTCTCTCCAGTGTGAATAGGATGATGGATTGTGAGTTGACTTGATGTAGTGAACGTTTTCCCACACTCTTCACACCAGTATGGTTTCTCTCCAGTGTGGATTCGTTGGTGGACTTTCAGGTTACCACGTTGAGAAAATGTTTTCCCACACTGGTCACAGCTGTATAGTTTCTCTCCAGTGTGAATAGGACAATGGATTTGAAGTCCACTTGATGTAGTGAAATATTTCCCACATTGGTCACAGCTGAAAAGTTTGGGTTCCTTTCTTCTTCTCTGTTTCTAAAAAAGACAGACAGATAAATAGTCAGTGAGAGGCCGTGATGCAGATATATCTAACAACTAAAATAAGAGTCTGTCAAATAAAAGTACAGGTTTAAAGTCCTTAAATAACACAAATGTGTCCCAGTGTAAGGGATAACAGTGTTAGGAATATATTGTGATGAAGTGAACACTGACCTGAGTTCTGGGGGTCTCTTTGTTCTCCTCCATGCTGCTCTCAGTGCTCCTTCTCCTGCTGGGTCTCTGAAATAAGTATTAACACTACAGTCAACACAAAACCAATCTACAGCTAAGAAGTAGCTTAACAGCAGAGGTGGGAAGTACATTTACTCAAGTACTGTACCTAAGTAAGGCAAGGCAAGTTTATTTATAGAACACCTTTCAACACAAGGCAATTCAAGGTGCTTTACAAAAATGAAAGACATTCAGACAAAGGCATTTAAAAACAGTAAAGTACCTCTATAGTTGTACAAGTACAACTATAGAGGTACTTGTACTTTACTGGAGTATTTACATTGTATGCTGCTTCTACTCCAATACAGTTCAGAGGTACATGGTGTACTTTTACTCCACACCTTTAGTTACTTCACAGATCTGGATGAATGATGGTAAATATAACCAAGTGTTGAATCAGACTTTAGTTCCACCTGGAGTAAATCCACCAGCTACCCTGCAGTATACAAAGTCATTCAAACTAGCTGCACCTTCACCAGCTTTGAGAACACTTTCATGATCAATCATTATAAAACATATCATATATATTATTCTGAAATGGACCAATCTGCACAATGACTACTTTTACTGTCGCTACTTTCACTATATTTTGATGCTACTTTTATTCACTGACCAGATCTGAGTACTTCTTCCACCACTGAAATACAGCATTTATCTCAAAGTACATGGCGGTGAAATCTTGTTTAAATTGTTTTTTACTAAACCCCTCTCAGTGCACGATATATAAGACAAACCTTCATATACTATAGTACCAGCAAAGGTACAGCCTCATTTTTTGCCTCATGCTGAAATATCCGCAGTAAAAGTAGTCAGTAAAGTATTTTAATAAAAGTGCTAAGTATTATCAGTAGCAAAAGTACGTTGTGTTATAGTAAAAGCACTCAGTATTATCAGTTTTTAAAGTACACAGTATTATCAGTATTACACTACTCAGGGTTATAGTACAAAATACTCAGTAATATCAGTAGTAAATGTACACAGTATTATAGGAAAAGTACTCAGTATTACCCGGTGTTACTGTGTTACCGAACAAATTGTGGCCCGAACAACTGGTGATATTCTATTATTTTCGACAGATGTATTGGGACGTGTACCTTGGGGACCCATTGTTGACTCACCGGGAAAGAAACATCTCGATCGCTTCGCGTGTTGTTCAAATTCATCTTTTGGTATATCTGACTGAATAGGACGACTTTGATGCACGTTCAGTACGCGTATGTGAGGTTGTGGGTGAGAAGCTGATATCGTGAAGCTTACAGTGACGACTAGAACATGACAAAGTAGGTGACTGTGGGGATGCCTGTGCAAAACATGGCGAACTTTAATAAATCATTTTAACAATATATTTTTGTCAGAGTTTCAGTTGTACATCGTTCTGAATGTGATGTATAGTAGCTTTGATAGCTGTCCATACCTTCAGACCGCCTCTATGTGAAACACAAGTTGTTTACTGTGAGCCCGAAAGCAGCCTGGAGATGGCAAGCTGTGATCCGCTCCGAATAAATGGTGATACAACTTCTCCAGCCATTCTCAAGCGATCAATGTTTTTATTAAATACCTGTATCCCTCTCATCACAACACAACTCTACACTGTGCAGAAAAAAATAACTTATATGTTAAAACAATATTCCATGGCTAATCCGGTAAACCACAGAAAAGTAGCCTAAATCCAGAATGAATATACGGTACAATAGTTATTGTATATATATATATATATATACAATAACTATTGTACTGTAGGCATATATATATATATATAAATATACCCATAGTTATTAATATATACATATTTATTTTTGGCTTACACGAACAACATATAAAACCCTGAATTCTGTGTGTGTGCACAGACATGTTTCACTTCTTACATGTGAGCAGAAAGCAGAAAGCAATCTGCAATCAATGTAATTGGCCATCTAGGATCTGGATCAAACCTGTTTCCCTACCATGGCTTACACTCTACAAGTACAACAGGTGTAGAGCTACATTATAATGACCTGGATTGTCTAGGCTATATAAACCACTGGACTTGTCAAAACTTTGTGGGTTTGTGAGTAGAGAGAGGTTAGAGACAGAGAGGTTAGAGACAGAGAGGTTAGAGACAGAGAGATTAGAGACAGCGAGAGATTTGAGACAGTGAGAGAAAACAGTTAGTTAGAAATTAAATAGAAAAAGATCAGAACGTGCGTGAGTGAGTACTGAATGTGATAGAGTGTTGGTCCTTGTGAGTGAAATTGTATTGTGTGTTTAATTAAGTGAGTGATTGTTGTTTGCCTGTGTGTGTGTTTGAGGGAGAGCGTAGTACTAGGGTTACATAGGAGTGAGTGGATCCAACAAAAATGGACCCAAGACTTGTGAAAGAGCTGATGGATGTAAAACTCCAGAACGTTTTTCCTGAAGGCTTATCAAGCCATCAGAGGTTTGTGATCAAGAGAAGAGCTGAGACCTTCAGGATTAAAGGTAAGAGTGTGTGGACTTCAGAATATCGTGTGCTATGATAATACTCTCAATGAATTTATAATTATGACATTTCAATACCAGATGGAGAACTGCATTACATATGCAGAAGAAAAAAGGACATGGCTGAGCACCTCGCCAAAGTGGTGCTATCCTCAGAAGAAGCTGACAAGCTGTTTAAAGAGTTTCACTGCAGCCAATTGGGAGGACATTTTGGTGTAGAGAAAACACATGGTGCCATCATGAAAAGATGTTATTGGCCTGGTATGGTGGATGACATCCGCAAGTGGGTGAGTTATAAAATAATGAGGTAAATTACACATTATGGTACAAAAGTGGAGCACAAAAAGGTTTATGGTGTGTTTTTTTTTCTTTTCCAGATTTCTGAGCGTCCCCAGTGCCAATCAAAGAGGGCAAGCATCAAAGAAAAGAGGGAGTACACTCCCATTAGGGTACAAGGAAACAATTCCAGCCAGTTTCAGCTTTGGAACATGTGAACTGTGGTTTACTGAAATGAAAATGTTTTCTTCTTCTCAGGTAACAGAGCCTCTGGAGCTTGTTGGGATGGACCTAGTGGGTAAACTCACACTAACAGATGGTGGCAATCAATACATTTGTGTCATGGTTGATTATTGCACCAAATGGGCAGAGGCATACCCACTTAAAAGCAAAACAGCAGATGAGATGACCAAGTGTATTCTTGATTTATTTTACAAATTTGGTGCACCTCAAAGACTGCTAACAGATCAAGGCGGGGAATTCTGTAATAAGGTATACCGTTGAAGCATTATCACTCCCTATTATGTAACATTTCTGTGCTAACTTTTTAGTGTGAATGCAAAATTCACCAACACATTCTCGCAGTTTACAGCATTCACAAGCATTTTCAGCAGGAGATGCATTTCATTGTTTCATTTTTGTCCCAATGTTTCCTTCAAGGTGAACTATAACCTTTGTGAGAGGCTGGGAATCGAAAGAAGCCCGTGTTCCCCGTATCATCCACAGACAAATGGGCTCGTGGAAAAATTAAATGGAACAATACAGAGGTATGTTAATTAATATACATAACATTATTTTTCCTACATTAACAGTAATCACAAATTATACCTAAATAAAACAATAAGAGTAAATAAATGGGTTGCTTTATCATATATTTGAAACAATGTTGTCTTCTACCTGATTGTGTCTGTACTTTACCTGAATTTAGGTCCCTGAACAAACTGGTGGCGGGTGAGCCCAAGCGTTGGGACCAATTCCTGCAGCCCACCATGTTCAGTCTGAGAACCAAAACTCAGCTGACTACAAAGTTCAGTCCCTATTTTCTGATGTTTGGGAGGGAGGCGAGGTACCCATCAGAGGTGCCCAAGGAGTACAAAGTAAGATCCGGTTAATCGCTTATCCTGTAGCATTATTTTTATTTCAAACATGTATGTCCTCTACATTCTAACTGTTTTCTGTGGCAGATAACAGAAGACAAAGTGAAAAGGATGGTGGAAAGGGAAGATGTCTGGGAGCGACTTCAAAAACAGGAGGCCGTTTTCACGCTTGTAAAGAAAAACATTAAAAAAAGCCAAGAGAGGGTCCGCAAGAGGAAACTGGAGAAAGGGCAAGCGGACAACTTCCAAGTGGGGGACTTGGTTTTAAAAAGAAACAAAAGGTTGGAGCAAAGAAAAGGTGGGACACTAGAGGTGGAAATGCAGGGACCTTACCGGGTTGTGGACATTGAGGGGAAAGTTGCTGAAATAGTTTCAGAAAAGGGAAACAAGAAGATGAAAGTCAACATTGACCACCTCGCACACTATGTCCAGCCAGAGGAGAGGATCCCTGCTAAATTGAAAAAATTGTTGGATCCTTCTCCTCTGGCTGATCCACTGACCTCCACACCCACCTCCACATCCACACCCTCCACATCCTCCCAAACCCTGGCTCCATCAAGTCAGGCAGAAGGAGCATCTTCTGAGGTGGAGACTTGTAAGTAAACTGACACAAAGTACACCTCAAAGTATGCATTTCCTTAATAACTAACATGCGTTATCTTTTTTTTTTTTACAGTAATCCGAGACATATGGGCAGGGAGGAGGAAGGAGACGCTATGGGCCAAGTATGGCCCATACAAAGTTTACAGCGAGAACCTCATGGTCTTGGCCCCAGGACAGCAGTTGGAGGGAGAGGTAAGCCTACTTTATAATACAAAAGTACATATGCAAAGTGATAATTCTTTATCAAATGGGATAAAAACATCTGTTGTATTTATAGATTATCAATGCCTATTTATCATGGGTGGGTGTAAAAGCTGGGGCTTTCATTTTCGACTCCTACCTCATCACTTCCCTCTGGCAGGGAAAACACAAAGGCGGTTTAAGAAAGGTGAGTAGAGTAGGACTAGAAATAAGTGTATGTATATATGTATGTACTTAAGTATGTACAAATATTTTTCAGTTGGACCTGACAAAACACAATGTGGCAGCTGGAGCCGTCTGTCACAGGGCACACTGGACCCTCATTGTAAGTAATCTAAAATGTTAATGGGTCAAGATATTTCTTTGTATTCAACACTTGTTTATTTAACACTTGACACTTTGTTTAATTTGTTGCACTTCCACAGATCATGTGTCTGAGGG